ACTATACACTTAGCAGCTGCCAAATAATCAACAGCAAACAACAGCAACCCACAACAATAACAATGAAAATAAGAGCAAAATCACTAGCCACTACAACCGCAATAATACTCAAAACAAAAACAACAGATACATAACAATATCAACTGCACCAAGAATTACACTGATGCATACATTAATGGGTGATCTTTATCATAGGTTGGCAAGCGGTTTGATGCTGTACATTATTTAGCATTCAWSCAGATGTTCAAMGATGGCTTGTATGAMGWGTAAGTTTGTGATCACTAGTCTATATTACTATTTGTCAGTTTACTGACATTCGACTCTTTCTTRTTTAGAATTGTTTATAACGACTCCAACTACAAGTGTTCTAAACAGTTGGGTGTTACGGGGTCCAATGCTATGCGGCTTATTAACGTGAGTATTGGAATTCTCCTCTAATGACAGATTACCCCTCTCCTTGATATAAGAACGTTATAAAGCAACGATATCCAGGGTAACACAGTGATCACTTCTACAGTATCTCGGTGACAACACTTAAACAACGACGACCTCCTCTACACAAATAGCAGCTCTTCCTTCCCCAAAATCAACTTTTCTTAAAAGTGCTCCCATGAATTCAAGCGATTTTTCCTTTTTTTCCCATCAGCCATTGCTAGCTGTGTCAAGTTACGTTACATGGATGACCCAAACACTTTTCTGGTAAGTGATATATACACATTTATAAATACCAATATATTACAAATAATTGATAATTATGATGTTCATAATAGTCATTAATATTGATTTGTTTGCTTACAGGAGTTTAGTRCAGTTTAACGTTTTCAGCTTCTTCTCGCGAAAATCACAAGGTGAGATCACGTGATGGTTTATAACAGGCAGCGCACTCAGGAATCTAGAAATCATTATTATCTTAACGGCCAAGTTGTAATAAAGGGTAGATATCCACTCCTATATATCCAGTCTCGCTTCAGACGTCGATCTTTTRYCGAGTCTAATCTAATTGGTGGAGATGAGTTAATATAAAGCATTTTGTACTCTAAATTTATTGACATTGTCATTAGTAGATTTTGTTCAGTTGGACAAACTTGATATAATCTGTAAACATCAATCGATGTTGACTGCAAACTTCTCGAGAACTGCATGTAAGCAATTAGATTAGACGCGGCAAAAAATCGACGTCTGAAACATGCAACATGTGAGTGCGCKCGCATGAAATTGCGGATTCCCTGTGGTAGTGCGTCACAATCACAGTGTGTTCGTTCACCTRACGTTTGATTTCAGTCACTGACTGAACATTTTAATTTTCCGATTTGTTTTTCAGTTTTTGCTGCCGATGCATCAACTGACAAGAATTATTGTACAGCCAGTATAAACTATTACAAGGCAAAYGTCATGAACAATCCTTACAGTAAGTATTAATCATTAACTCTCACTGATTAATAATTATTTGTAATTTTAGTAATGTCGATTGTTCTTTTRTTTATCAGCAAAGAAATCTGTTTGCAAGGATGATTGTCTGGGGTAAGAAAGAAATAGATGTATTTCATCCAACTCAATATTTARTAAATCAATAAGTAGGGATTACCATACAAGTTATTAAAAAGCTGCAACCAATTCTTTAATGCCTTGCGATCCTTTTATCTTGCAGAGATTTCTATGTTGCGCCTGTATTTAAAAGTAATCTTCGTTTGGTAATACAGAAAAAATGTGGCTGTGAAGCCAAGAAACAAACAGAATGGAGTAAGTAGAATCATGTCGTCTGGTGAATATGTGTTTCTGTTTTTATTGAATTTTCTAACGTTTCTCTTCAGACAAGAAGCTGGAGGTTGAATCKAGTTTTATAACTCCAACTTCTCATTATCGCAAGCTACCACAGCTAAAATGTTATGCTTACAGTGACGAGGTATGATTTACTCTCTAGTTTTGTATTCATTGGGATCCAGAGGAAAAACTGGTCTGTGGCAAACCCTTCGCTAGGTTATATTCTTGTTCCTTTGAGAGTCAGCATATTATTTCTGGTTTCCCTGTTTGTCCCTCCCTGAGACTCGAAGAATCTTTGCTTGCTTGATTTTTTTTGCTCGTTCTTATTGGCTAAAAGCACTGAGAATCAAATTAACCAGGGACCAAAATGGCTGATTGTTACAGCAGCGTCCCTGGTAGGATTTCTTGGTGCTTGCAGGTCTCATTAATCTAGAAACAATAACATTCACTCATTTTGTGATTTTCRTTCCAGGAGTCAAAAGAGTGTGGATCAGGATGCAGCCTGTCACCCATCAAACTACTTATAATAGGACTAACGCTGGTCTATTCACTGCTGGCTCATTAATTCTAGACGTGTAGATGTCGTAGATGGAACAGTCACACCCATTGCTGCCTCGTGCCCAGACCATACCCGAGGACYACAGGAAAACCATCCATGGTTTTGTTGAATTCCATTGCAATATGCGCAACATAGAATACAATCGTGAACAATTAGTGTGGGTCTTCCCTTGTAAAGGAACTCACTAAAGCTAAATTTTACAAAATTATTTGCACAAAACGATTAAATTATTGTCAATTATTGAAAGCAAAAGCACGCGACTTGACGCATTGTAGTATTGAAAAAAAATCAGCCTTTTTGTCTTTTAAAATTACATTTAAAAGTATTTCAAGTTTGCTTSGCGGAGTAATATGAATRTTTTAAACTTCGTGATGTTTGGAAAGATGATGATGACGTAGTGAAATGAAATGTGATCACGGACATCAGAATGAGTTTGAAAATAAGGAATCATTGTATATATTGTACTTTAAAAAATTCCARCAAAGCTTTCCACAGAAACTCCACCAGGGTCGAAAATCTACAACCGAYAATAACTAGGGTAAAATAGAGCCGACGCACTAAATCCGTGAAACTTAAATAGTACAAAATAGTAATAACTAATAATTCCTTCGTTTTCTAGAGTGATTGCACTGTGCAACTGTACAAAATCCTAAGTAGTACTAAATTGTACGCGATTTGTAGTGTGATCACTCTATTGTCTCTAAACAATTAAGTAGTAATTAGTACTATGATTTGTTTCACGTGTGCCCTCTATAATTGTACAAAAAGTTATTTAGTTAGATCTTACATTTTGTATAACGCACCAACCATAAAGAATCTCTAAGGACTCTAAGTAGAATTATTACCCTGTTGAAGTCTTTCTTGTATAGAAAAGAAATTTAGTACTGGTTCTTAAATTCTTCTGTGGTTACGCTTCTCTTTTTGACAACCGTCATTGACGAATAGTTAGCCGGAGTTTTTCTCTGTCATTGTGATTATGTAGGGGTATTTATTGAACTAATGACCAGAACAAGGCCGTTACTTGTAATATCGTATATAAAACGTCTGTACTGATACTCTTCTAATACAATCATTAATTGTTTACATAACTTTTAAATAAATAATCTTATCAATTCTACGAARTGTTTGTTACATGTAGTAAAGTACGTAATTAAGGTCGTGTATGAGAAAGGTTGGGGTGAGGATATGCGTTCAAGGTCGCAACTTCATGCGAGGGGCGCAAGTATGCTAAAGGTGAATGGGTCTGTTCGCAAGGTCGTGAAAATTGGGCACCGCAGCTAGCCAAGAGTCGTTAAGAAAGGCAGCATTGGACGTTGCGTAAAAATATGCGTTGCATGCTGGTACGTAMTGCTGGTAAATGCACGTTAACTCATGCGGCGTTAAGATGTACGCAGGGGACATAAATATGGGCGCCTTTTAATGTGAGGCAGGCTCGCACGGGCGAGGCTATGATGTGCGTAAAACTACTTTGTGGATGTAGATGAGTTACAAGTAAATCAATATAAGTTTATTTATTTATTTCTACAAATACAATTCATATCTACATGTACATTAATCTCTCTATAGAGAATAACAATTAATCCAGTTATATTTCAATGGGCTTTATTACTGGTTTTCTTATATGTCGCATCGTTGACCCAGGCTCCGTTGGTTTGAACGGTGCGAGTGAACCGTAAGGTCTGGGGATTGGTAATTCGGAATCATCATCCGGGATATATGCATTTGGTCGAGGTTCAGCAGTAGTGTAAATTCCTCCAGGTAATCGATAATGTTCTTCTTCTTCTTCTCTCTGTAAGCGAGAAAATAAGGTTGATAGTTAATAATAAGTACAATATTGTGTCAAATGCACAACAAAGTTCGTATGCATTCGATTTGTGCGTGCGGCATTCCGAGTGACCTCAGTTTCTCAATATCATAGTTTTCTATGAGGTCACTAGGGTGGTGTTTTCAATGAAGTAATTGCGATAAAAGGATAGGTTCAATACTCTAAAAGAGACTGAGGAAAACTTACGTGCCGTTTCGGACAGCGGTCCTTTTAGCATAACATTATGATACCAATTTACGCATCAAACAAAGACACGATAACGAATCTATAAAGAACTCTTTACCTGTTGAGTTGCTTGTCTTTCATTTTCTCTGCGCTGTTCGTCTCGTATCATTCGTAACCACTCCCTCTCGGCGTCATCTGAAGGAGCTTCGCCTCTTTCCATTCTAATGTAAGCCTGTTCTAGTAGTTGCTCTTTCTCCTTGACAGCTTGYTGTAGTTTCATGGCACTAGCTTGATTCATGGATAGTTCTGAWACCATCGCCATCATTTTACGTGTAGTATCTTTGATTTTAGCTTGATAATCGTTGACCTAGTAGATAGGTTTAGGGTAAGTAATATATACCATGTAGGAAATATCAACAACGCAATGTCTTTCAAATTACAAGAACCACATAATGAAGGAAAGAAAGAAAACATGAACATAAACATTGAAGAAGGACGGGAAAGATGAGTTGGAAACTTTATTACTTTCCGCAATTACACTACTACGAATTAACAACTAGATGAAAAAAAAAAACAATCTACGAGAACACACAAATACTCATAACAAATTTCAAATGGAAAGGATGGAAAAAGGATGAAACATGACTGTTACCTTTTTGGCGAGCTCAAGAGTGTCTTCTTTGCCAGTTTCTGCCTTTGTCTTGGTTCGATCAGCAAGACGACTTACTTCCTCGTAAATCAAGTCTTTCTCTAAAAGTTTCTCTTCTTTCTCTGACAAACGTAGTTCGAGTTCTTCAATCTTTTTGGCAAGGATTTCAGGCTCAGGATCCACACCACCAAGAAGCCTTATTCGCTCGTCATTTGTTGGGTCTTCTAGGTCTTTCTCCAGGTCTTCTAGTCGCTCACGGCAAGCTAAAAGCTGGAATTGAATAAATGAATTCTGTTATTAACCTTAACCAGGTAGAGTTGTCCATAATGCAATCAGAACAGGAAGCGGGATCATGATCATCATTATCAAGAAATCAGATTCAGAATATTATCGTGAATAATTAGTTCAATTAAACCGTTATCTTTAGTATCAACCAAATAACGAGCTATCACAAATCCAGTATTCGTATTAATGACTACTAAATTTGAGGATATTATATGGACGCGCACAATACGATTTCATCTTCGAAAACAACCACGAATTCTGTAAGCGCCAATGAATGTAATGTTCTGTTTATAATATAAACTCCTAGAACCTTCAATAGTTACCTGAATCTGTAAAGTAGCTAATTCATCGTCAAGTGCTCTCTTGTTTGGCATGTTCTTGTTGACCAGTCCAATACCTCGGCGTAACTCGTTTAACTAAACACAAAATAGATATTCATCACTACTGAACAATATAAACAAGTCAGGAAAACCAATGAAACCACCAAWATACGAAGTGTATGGATGCGATTTCTATAGTTTTAAAGCTGTGTACCTCCATTTTTAGGAATCTAATTTCTTCTTCTCGAGCTTTGAGCTCAACATCTCCATTTCTTATCATAGTATCTGTCAAAAACGTCATTAAAAATTTTAGAAAATAGTTCATAATATCTACAACAATGAAGAACATTTTAAATTGAAAAGAGATCATGTGTTCAACGCGTTGCAGAATCTGTAAGTATCGTACCTTGAATGTTGAGCGTTTCATAAAATACACATACTTCTTCATTTCGTTCAATTAGCTTAATACCCCTTGAAAAAGATAAGAGTAAATTAACCCAACRCACATTTTAAAGAAATAACAGCAGGATCGTACGTTAGGGAGGGGTCCAGTTCACCCAGGAAGGGGTATGCATCCCTTACATCTAGCTGCATATGCATTTTGATTAWACGAAATAAGAGAAATGTCTTACATGTCGTTTCGTTCTTGTACGCTCCCCTCGTATCGTTTGCGAAGCTGAACCATATTTTCTTCAGCTTTGTTGATAAGCTCATTCAGTTTTGCAATATCCAATCGCTAGAAATTAACGTTATAAAAGTAAATATGAATGATATTGTCAGTTAAAGGATTGTCGTGTAGTTCAGAGTACAACTTACCAGTTGTTCACGCTTTTCACGGTTTTCTTCGTCATTCTTTGTCTGTTTGCTTTCTTCATTCCGTAAACTATCGCGAATCACTACAGCATTGTTGCATCGTAAACGCGCTTTTTGCAAAAGTCTGTAAATCAAAGACAGAAAAAACCTCATCAACAACTGGGAAAGCCACCGATTCATTTTGTAACACTGCAGTACCTGTCTTTAGCATTGACTTTGGAGCGCAGGATTTCTATTTCGTTTTGTAAAATTTTAATTTTCTCTCTCATCTCGGCAGCTTTCTATAAAAACAAAATTCGCAACACATTATAAAACTGAAACTGAAACATACGGACGCTGCAAAACGGTTACACGCAAACATAAGCGTACGTACTATGTCATAGTCTTGACAAAACAACAACAATAAGAAATCCAAAACACAAGGAAAGTAACTAGAATTATAGAACAAAATAAAGAATCTTACCTGTGTACTGGTTTGGATTAGATTCACACACTTATTACGTTCATTTTTAATAACATCATATAGCTTGGCAAAGTCTGACAACCTGAAAATAAAACATTCGCGACGATTATWGGTGTACACTATGGCTTGATGTTCAGTACATGTATGTAAATACACCAAAAGGATCGTAGTACTCACTTGTGCTGCATCTCTGCATATTTCTTTGCGCTGTCTTGGATGTTAAGATTCTTTGTTTTAAGATCTTCAAGAGCTCTTTGATACCTTAACTGAAATGGTGGAAAATGTATTATTAGCAAACTTTACCAAGGTTTTCAGAACGTCATTTAATTTCAAAATTTGGTATAATCATGGGAGTTGGTTTATTGTGGGAAAAGAGATGTTGAATATACATGTAATGTTTGTTGTTGYCTTTTTTGATTTACAGTATAKTAACATTGTTAAAACGGTGTTTGCGCAATTTCGTTAGAAAGCGCGCGTTGAATTTAAATGACAAACGCGCGATTTTTCTTGTATACTGCATGCATAACTATAAAGAGATATTATATTACCAGTACGTAAGTTTAAGATCATGTTGTGTATTTTTTACCTCAGCTCTCATGTAGTCTCTTGCCTTTTGCTCTCTCTCATCTGCCTACAGAAAGCAATTTGATTATGGTTTGAGGGGATGACCAGTCTTATTACAATACATCATGGATGTTTTGTCAATCGTATGGCTGGTATCTCCAGATGATATAAAGTATAATTTTGTTAATTTGAGTTACTTACTTTGATCTGTGCAAGTCTTGTAAGATCAATGACATCTACTCTAAGTTCACTCTGTTCCATGAGTAATTTTTCTTCTTCATTGATCATGTGTTCTACTCGAACTCTTTCTCTTGCTGTTAGAGCATTCTAGAGAACAGTTATCACTATCATTTATATCCTGGCACTACCATATTTTTACTAATACATGTATTAGCTGGTACAAATGAAGAATATAAACACAGATATATATTTCAGGCTTATATTGTTGCTACATGACTGTAGACGTGCTTTTTGATTGGCTAAGTTATGCCTCAGTCCTGTTATTGTTTACACAATACTAGTCTTTCAAGTTACAGTGAYTGTACATGTTCTACTGTAAGTAAGACTCGTTAATCTCATTAAGATCAAGGACTTAACTATAAGTTGTAATATGATATATACCTGTTGTGCAAGAGTTCTTTTCGTTGCAATAACTTCTCTCTGAAGTTCTTTGCGCTTTTCCATCAGGGTGCCATCATCTCTAGGTCGGCTGTCAACTTGTCCTTTGACCTTGTCATGAATAGATTTGACATGTGATAATGATTCGTCTGCAACTTTTAGCTGGAGTTCACTCTTCTTCAGAGCTCTGAAAGAAAAAAAAGGTTCAATGAAAAATTAAAGATGAATTTGAATAAGAAATTCAACATTTTGTTTCTGAAAAGATGTTGAACATACTTTAAATCTCTTTCTTTCTCTCTTAGTTTTCGTGCATGTAAATCATGCTGGATTTTCTTCTCAACTGCTGCATGTTTGAGATTCAAGTCTAGTGTACCACGATCACCAATAAACTCTGACTGTCTTTCCTTGGCTAGTTCATATTCCTTCATAATWAGATCAACTTCACGTTCCTGAAACAATAAAGATAATATTTTAAATAAAAACTCCCCTAATATAAACTCCAATCACCTGTCATTTACTTACTCAGTTATTTTGAGATTATATTGATGATTTGTAATTTTTAAGGTAAACTGTTCATTGTACTTCCCCTACCTCACAATAAATTATATCTCGTGTGTAACATATCATTGGAGTTTACCTTAGATTCATAGGTATGTCTCTGTTTGTCTAATGCTTCAGATAACTCCTGCTTTTCATCTTCAAGATAAGTCCTTCTTCCTTCAATTCTTTGTACCTACAAAATTGATGTATATATTGTACAAAGTTAGATGAAATTTTATTGTACATGGACCTGACAGTAGAAAGAATTCATTGTGGAAAGCAACCCAAAATAATTTCTTCAACAATGGATATCTCATGGTAACACCAGAAAATGCTGAAAAAGAACATTTGGATGAAATCATTGAACAAAAAAGTAAGTAACATTACCTCTTTGATGACTTCTTCAAGATCTGAATCRAATCTTTTTCTTTTCTCTTCAACTTCCCTAAAAAATAATGAAATGAAAATAAATGAAATTATGTGATTGACATAATGAAAGTATTGATGGTTTTGACTAAAAGTTACTGTACATACTTGAACTGTCTTGATATAAGATCTGTTTGTTTGGAGATATGTGCAGGCTGAGAGTGTATCTGGACCAGCTCATCCTGAAACAGACCATATTACAATAATTATTCCTCATCGTCAATATTATTACTATCATCATTGTCATCAACAGAAAAGTCAGATAAATATCACCGATAACTGCCACCAATCATTACCAATACCAGCATACTATAACTATATAGCACTTATCAATCATTACCAATACCAGCATACTATAACTATATAGCACTTATCAATCACCTTCATCAGCATCAACGACGACAACAATCTTAGTTCACCAGCATAACTATCACGATGTAAGCAGAATATTTTGTGAGCTGTCGGATGATGATAGCAAATGGTGTTGTAGCATTCACGAAAATACTACTATTAGCTGTCCAATCAGAACCACTAATTATGTAAAACTGGCCAATCAAAAACAGTAAAATCAGACAGAAATAGAAATAATAACAGAATTTTCCAATCAAGTTATGGTGTTCTCATGCATTATATTATATCAAAAATATATCAAATAAAAGCTGCAAGATGATTGTTTATTATCAAATTGCTCAATTGTTCCCAGTTAAARTGCATACTCTGTAATAAAGTAAACATTAACTTAAATTCATTTTGCCATACTTACCCTCAAACTTTGCTGRTTCTCTAAATCYTCATCCACTTCTTTCCTGATTGCATTAATTTTTTCYTCTCTGCTTTCCAACTCTTCTTTMARCCCTTTTATGTCAACAGTTCTTTGTGCAACATCCTTATTCAGGTCATCRATWGATTTTTGCAACTCCTTTTGTTGTTTTTCAATTTCTCCTGGTTTGGGCATTCGTGAATACTCTCTTTCAAGCATTATTTTTTCTTCTTTAAGTCCATCAAGTTTGAATTCTAATTGATATTGTCTTTCATCAGCTTGTGCCAATTCATTATGATGGTTTAAGAGTTCTTGTCTTAGTTTATTTACTTCTGTATTGTCGCCRTCAGGAAAGTTATCTCCTTTTTCTARCTCTGCTCTCTGACGTTGAACTTCTTGATGCATCTCTTTTGCTTGACGAAGAAGTGAAGATTCCTGTTCTCTAGTTGTTTTTAGTCTGTCATGAAGACTGGTGTATTTAGATTTAAGTTTAGCAACTTTCTCGCCAGCAATCTTTCCTTGAGAGAAAAGCTGTTGAAAAGTGGAAAAACTAATTTAGTACATTAATTAGATTGTTTTTGAGATGRTATATAACTTATTTTAAGAGTAACGTGGTCTTGGTTTAAATCCTCTTGCCAACGTAACTTGTCACATTTTTGCATCAACTTTTCATTATGTTTCACAATAATTTTTTTCAGATAAACTACTTTTCTAGTAATTAGTCAGTTTGAAGTGTATTTTATATATGTTTTTTCTCGATTTGGTCAAGGAAAAGAACAAATTTCCCAAAAACTCTCACCTCATCGAGACACTGAAATGCTGGACTAGCAGAAACATCCACTGGTCCTTGTTCTTGATGTAATCTTGGAGCTAATGCCCAAATAGCTGGTTCAATTTCTTGCCCTTCACTASCTCGTTCTTCGCTATCACTCATTTTTTATGSAATTCACCAGTTACAAATTCAAGATCACCGAAAAAACAAGAATAATTTGAGACATTTTCTTCTCATCTCTCCAAGATGGCAGCCATTAGGTACAATTGTTGCTTAGCAACAAAAGACCCTTGAAAACATWGAGCTCATTCYCTCTCGGCTTAATTACCCATGATGCASTTTACCGGAAATTGATATTTTAAAGATGGCGGTAAATACAGAAGTCGAGGATGGTTGAGGTAACAAGAACTTTTAGCTTTAAAGAGCAAATATTTCCTCATATACTACGGGAAAGGGCTCATAGTCATGACAAGGATGATGGAAAACCTGCAGGTACGATTATGTTGTTTGGGAAAATCGCTTTTTTTAGTTGAGTATGGTAAAGTCACATGATTTCCCATGATTTGACAAGCGTTTTTCTTGAAACTTAACTTAATGTATTTTTCCTTAGATGCTGGTTATGATCAGCTCAAGGATGAAATGCAAGCTCACATTGTTGGCCAGGAAAAAGATGGGACTGTCTTAGTTTCCTGGAATAACAAGAGCCCTAATGTAAGTATATCGTGACTTGGTAATGGRATTTTGACCCCAAGACTGATGGTCGGTTTGTTTTGTTTCACACAGGGAAGTCATAAAGTGTCCTATGTTGCAGCGTATGAACCATCAACATCTCATTTCAAGGTAATTTTARATCTCTCAATKGCGTTATCAACAAGTGATTCATTATCATATCAAAAACTTTAAAAAGGCAAATGTATTACAAGTAAATTGAGAATAACAATTTCGCTACCTTGCTCTCCAATCACACACATAATGTAGCTGTCAGTGAAGTGTAGAGTTTTGAATAGTGGTGACTAAAACATCATTTGACATTACAAAAGATTGTTTTTCTTTTGTATTAAGATCCTGTTTATCCATGATAA